GGTACCATTATACTCCCACTAGAATGGCTAAAATAAGACTGCCAGCTTCAAATAATGGTGAGGATTTGGATCAACTGGAACTCTCATCAAGTACTGTTGGGAGTATACTTTTTTTTTAATGAAGTTAGCTTTCATCCATCTTGTGACTCAGCAATTCTCCTAGATACTTATTCAGGAGAAATGAAAACATGTCTACAAAAAAAGAAATGAAAACATGTCTACAAGAATGTTCAGGCTGGGCGTGGTGGCTCAAGCCTGTAATCCCAGCACTTTGGGAGGCCGAGACGGGTGGATCACGAGGTCAGGAGATTGAGACCATCCTGGCTTACACTGTGAAACCCCGTCTCTACTAAAAAATACAAAAAACTAGCCGGGCGAGGTGGCGGGCGCCTGTAGTCCCAGCTACTTGGGAGGCTGAGGCAGGAGAATGGCGTGAACCCGGGAGGCGGGGCTTGCAGTGAGCTGAGATCCGGCCACTGCACTCCAGCCTGGGTGACAGAGCGAGACTCCGTCTCAAAAAAAAAAAAAAAAAAGAATGTTCATAATAGCTTTATTCATAATAGCCAAAGCCTGGAAATAAACCAAATGTCCATCAAGAGAGAATATACAAATGGTCATATATGAGACTATTACTCTGTAATAACAAATAATGAACTACTGATGCATGCAACAACGTAGATGAATATCATAAACAGGCTGAGTGAAAGAAGCCAGACACAAAAGAGTTTATGTGTTTGAGTCCATTTACATGAAGACCAAGAACAGGCAAAAGTACGTTATGAAGACAGAAGTCAGAACAATGATTGCCTTAGTGGGGTGAGGGGGTGGTTTCAAATAGGGGTTGACTAGGAAGGGGCACAAGGAAGCTTTTGGGGGTGTTGGAAATGTTCTATATCTTGATATGCATTTGTTAGAACTCATTAAATGGTACACCTGAGATCTGTGCATTTCACTGTGTTTAAATTAAACTTTAATTTTAAAAAAGTAGGGGAAGGATATGAGGAAGTATACATTGATCCAAGGGCATTCTCCTACATAAGCACAATACAGTTATCACACTCAGAAAATTTAACATTAATGCAGCACTACCATCTAGTATGCAGTTCACATTAGAATATCCCAGTGTCTTAAAATTTGCTGAGAGTAGATCTTAATTGTTTTCACACTTCCCATCTCACACTCTCCCTCTCATGGTAACTGTGTGGTGAAGGATTGGTTCTTTTTTTTTTTTTTTTTTAAGACAGAGTCTTGCACTGTCTCCCAGGCTAGAGTGCAATGGCATGATCTCGATTCACTGCAACTCTGCCTTCCAGGTTCAAGTGATTCTTGTGCCTCAGCCTCCCGAGTAGCTGGGATTACAAGCATGCACCACCATGCCCGGCTAATTTATTTTTAGTAGAGACAGGGTTTCACCATGTTGGCCAGGCTGGTCTCGAACTCCTGACCTTGTGATCCACCTGCCTTGGCCTCCCAAAGTGCTGGGATTACAGGCATGAGCCACCGTGTCCCGCCTATAGAATTTTTTATATGTAGGATTCAGTGAAAGATCACTCATTATTAATTTTTAAAAAGCTTCATGATGGAAATAATTCTTGTAGAATGTTAAAATCTTGAATCCCAGGGCATGTTTTCTGGCACCTGTTATTTTCAGTAACCCATTTCGTTTTTGTCATACATATAGAGTTAATGTATGAAAAGTCAATTATGTCAAACTTACACAGTTTGTATGAAAAGATTAATGATCTTGGCCGGGCGCGGTGGCTCAAGCCTGTAATCCCAGCACTTTGGGAGGCCGAGACGGGCGGATCACGAGGTCAGGAGATCGAGACCATCCTGGCTAACACGGTGAAACCCCGTCTCTACTAAAAAATACAAAAAACTAGCCGGGCGAGGTGGCGGGCGCCTGTAGTCCCAGCTACTCGGGAGGCTGAGGCAGGAGAATGGTCTAAACCCGGGAGGCGGAGCTTGCAGTGAGCTGAGATCCGGCCACTGCACCCCAGCCTGGGTGACAGAGCAAGACTCTGTCTCAAAAAAAAAAAAAAAAAAAAAAAAAAAAAGAGATTAATGATCTTTTACAAATGCAGAATTGGCTGGATGTGGCTAATTGTAGAATTGGCCTGTAATCCTAGCGCTTTGGGAGGCTGAGGCGGGAGGATCGCTTGAGTACAGAATTTTGATTCTTCTTTTTTTTTAAATTTTTTATTTTCTGAGACAGAGTCTCTGTCGTGCTGGCTGAAGTGCAATGGCATGATCTCAGCTCACTGCAACCTCCACCTCCCAGGTTCAAGCGGTTCTTGTGCCTCAGCTTCCCAAGTAGTTGGGATTACAGATGTGTGCCACCAGGCCCAGCTAATTTTTTTGTGTGTATATTTAGTATAGAGGGGGGTTTCACCATATTGGCCAGGCTGGTCTCGAACTCCCAATCTCAGATGGTCCGCCCATCTCGGCCTCCCAAAGTGCTGGATTACAGGTGTGAGCCACCATACCCAGCATTTATATTTATTTATTATTATTTTCTTTTTTTTGAGATGGAGTTTCACCCTGTTGCCCAGGCTGGAGTGTAATGCCAAGATCTTGGCTCACTGCCACCTGCACGTCCTGGGCGAGCCTCCTGCCACAGCCTCCCGAGTAGTTGGGAATACAGGCACGTGCACCACACCCAGCTAATTTTTGTATTTAAGTAGAGTCAGGGTTTCATTATGTTGGTCAGGCTGGTCTCGAACTCCTGACCTCAAGTGATCTGCCTGCCTCGGCCTCCCAAAGTTCTGGAATTACAAGCGTGAGCCACTGCGCCCGGCCAAGCCCAGGACTTTGAGACCAGCCTGGGCAACAGACCAAGACCCTGTCTGTATAATAAAAATTATGCAATATTAGAATAGCAAATCTTGCTCTTAAAAGTTTTGTTTTCCTCGTTGCTTTTTTACTGAAAATGCATGGCTTTAGAAACTTCTGGGTAGTTTGAATTGCAGACAAGCAGGCCCTATTCTTGTTTGTTTAATTAATGAGATTTGTAAACAGTACTTGGTTTCCCCAGACTCTAGGACTTAGAGGAAGGAAATTTTGATTTAGCTCTTGGTAAAGCTAGATGCACCTGATTTTTCTTTTTCATTGTTATTTTCTTGATCACAGAAAACAATACACGTTAATAGTAGAAAATACCCACAATTGAAAAAAATATAAAGCACTTAATAAAACTCTACCACCTAGGCTAGGTAAGGTGGCTCACATCTGTAATCCCAGCACTTTGGGAGGCCGAGGTGGGTGGAACAGCTGAGGTCAGGAGTTCAAGACCATCCTGGCCAACATGGTGAAACCCCATATCTACTAAAACTACAAAAATTAGTTGGGCGTGGTGACAGCCGCCTGTAATCCCAGCTACTCAGGAGGTTGAGGCAGGAAAATTGCTTGAATCCAGGAGGTGGAGGTTGCAGTGAGCTGAGATCATGCCGCTGCATTCCGGCCTGGGTGACAGAGCAAGACTGTCTCGACAAAACAAAAAAACTGCCACCTAGAGATGGTGGTGGTCAACATCTTAGCAAGAATTTCTCTTGCGTTTTTCTGTGCAAACACAGACAGATTTTCATTTTTTAAAAAAGATGATAGAATCATACTGTATGAATTTAACTGCCTAATTAGCTTGCTGTATCAGCGTCTCTCTTGTCATTAAATGCTCTACAGCTTTTTTTAAAATTGCTACCTGTGGTAGTATTCCTTGAAGGAAATACCTTAAAATTTTTTGTTTTTAAACTCCAAGATACGTGATGTTTGGCTAAAACTAATGAAAATAAATTGATGAAACTTCAATGTAGTGGATCAAGAGACCCATGAAATTGATGAGTTAGATTGTTGTGGGCACCGCTTTTAAATTTATGGTGCCTTCTTAGCAGAATCATGACTTCATCAACTCTTTTTTTACATACTTTTATTCAAAGAAGATGTTCTCCTCCTCAGCCCCAACTTACCTCCTTCTTGTCTCCAACTGCCAGTATTCATCCATACTCTTTGTAGTTTTGAGGTGTGAGATAGCTCCGAAGTTCTTGGGAATGGGTAGAGTTTAATTCTGAGTCTGCATATAGTCTATTGGAGGAAGCTTTTCTTAGGAGGTGAAATTTGGGATGGAGTTCTCTACACTCTAACCCTGTGGCCACAATCTTTGGTTTAGATCTTTGGCATTTTTCAGTGGATGTCTGTCATAATGTCTAACTCTTCTTCCTGCCTCCAGGCTTCCTGTGATTGCCAGATGAAATTCCGAAAACCCAAATCATTCCCCTAGTTAATATCCTTCAGTGACTCCAGATCAATCAAATTCTTGATCCCTCCACATGGGTCTTACCATCTACCCTCGTGCCCTCTCTAGCATCCTACATATTGAGTTCCCCACACCCTAGTTCCCCACACCTCTAGTTTCCCTGAGTTTGGAATATTCTTTCACATTTGCTTATCCCACTATCTAGAACTTCTTGCAGTCTCCCTACTGCCAACCTGTCTGTCTAGTTGCTAATTTATTTTAAAACCCAGCTTAAGTAACACATCCTTTTGGAAGTATTACTTCCCTGATCGTTACTCACCTCCATGCCATCGTTCGCTCAACTCATTGAAGTTAGGTGCCCCCTCTTCTGGGCTGCCACTGCTCTCCATATTCACTTATGTACTGTACTTTGTATTGTAATCAGTTTGACACCCCCCCCTTTATTTGAGCTCCTTGAGAGCCGGACCCTGATTCTTGCTCCTTAGCACTCCACCCTCCCCAGAACCAACATGATATAGCTTATAGGAGGCACCCTATAAATGTTTAATGAATGTTTGAATGCAAAAGTGTATCTAACTTTATTGATGGTATAGTTATGAAAAGAACGTGTTGAGAAAAAGGTCAGAAAGGGTTAGGAACTTGTCAGTATTCTAAATCCCTCTTTTTCAAAAGCATACACATTTAGGAATGACTGTCTTGCTTTAAGAATTTGTAGGGCTTTGTTCACCTGAGTTGTACCTTGCTATCACAGAAGGATGCCCTGCAGTGGTCCCGCCATCCGGCTACAGTGGAGGGAGAGGAGCCAGAGGACACGGCTGATGTGGAGAGCTGTGGGTCTAATGAAGCCAGCACTGTGAGTGGTGAAAACGATGGTAAGGACCCTTTACCGGATGGGTGAGGGAGCCACAGCGGGCACTAGGGACTAACCTTTATTTTCCTTTTTTCCAGTATCTCTTGATGAAACATCTTCGAATGCATCCTGTTCTACAGAATCTCAGAGTCGACCTCTTTCCAATCCCAGGGACAGCTACAGAGCTTCCTCACAGGTAAGGAAGAGGTAGAGCCTAACCCGGGAGGATGAATGATGACAGGTACAAGGCAAGATGCTTCCTTCTCCTGTTGTAAGCTGTGGACATGTTCAGAGAGTGAAGAATAGAAGTCTGGTCTCTAGCTGTTAGTAGCATTTAACAGTGGGCCGTAGGAAAAGTGAACAGTAGGTCTGAGCAGAGTGAGTTTTTTCTTTTTCTTTACCTTGGCTGATTGATTCTGTTCGTTCTTTTTTTTTTTTTTTTTTTTTTGAGATTGAGTTGCACCTGTCGCTCAGGCTGGAGTGCAGTGGTGTGATCTCCGCTTACTGCAACCTCCGCCTCTGGGGTTCAAACAGTTCTCCTGCCTCAACCTCCCGAGTAGCTGGGATTACAGGCACGTACTACTGCACCTGGCTAATTTTTGTATTTTTAGTAGAGATGGGGTTTTGCCATGTTGGCCAGGCTAGTCTTGAATTCCTGACCTCAAGTGATCCGTCCGCCTCAGCCTCCCAAAGTTCTGGGATTACAGGCATGAGTCACAACGCCCAGCCTGATTCTGTTCATTCTTGTAATATACATGTGAACATCTGGGGAGAAGTGGGGTTAGTGCAGAGTAGTGAGAACAGGAGATTGGGAGTGAGCAGTTTGAATGGTGACCCTGCACTTACTACCCTTGAGACTTTGGGAAAACTCCTTGCCTGTAAAATGGGGATAACAGTACGTTTTGTAGCTTGGAATGATGCTTGGCACAGTGACCAGCACGTAGCTCAGTAACATTAACCAGTGCTCTCGTCAGCATTATTCGACAGATCTGGTTGAAGACGAACTTCATTTTACAAGAGAGTGAGTAGAGAGTGTCGCCAGGGAATGCTTTTGTGGCTCTGCAGTTGATTGGGGCTCTCCTTTTGTTCTCTCTGGGAATGTAGGCGAACAAACAAAAGAAAAAGACTGGGGTGATGCTGCCTCGAGTTGTCCTGACTCCTCTGAAGGTAAACGGGGCCCACGTGGAATCTGCATCAGGTATGTGTAAACTCATGGTTGTGATGCTTTTTCCTCAGGTCCTGGGGACCTGGCCCCCCTCTGTCAACAGTTTCTGACTTAATAGTGTGATGCCAGGAGAGCTGTCGGGCCACAGGCAAGAGCCCTGCCAGTGGGTGAGGCCTGCCATAGGTTCTAGTGCTGGGCTCTGCCGTGTGCCTTCCTCTTTGTCTCCCAAGGCAGTCGTGAGGATCCAATGGAGGATTTGATTGTGCCAGTGCTTTGTAAAAGGTGTAGTGCTATACAAATAAAGATGGCGGTTTGGCATCTGTAAGGTGGTATTTTTAAAGCCAGACCATGAGGTGGTGGTTTCTCTCAGCCTAAGGCTGGGAGATGGAAGTATCCCAGTATTGCTGGCAGCATTTCAGGGAGAGCTGGGAGAAGTGAGCTTGTCTGAGAGCCGTGGGCGCGGCTTGTGATACTTTTGACCAGTGGAATGCTGTGCCTTCAGGGTTCTCGGGCCGCCACGCCGATGGCGAGAGCGGCAGCCCGTCCAGCAGCAGCAGCGGCTCTCTGGCCCTGGGCAGCGCTGCTATTCGTGGCCAGGCCGAGGTCGCCCAGGACCCTGCCCCGCTCCTGAGAGGCTTCCGGAAGCCAGCCACAGGTGAGTGGCTTGGCACTTATTTCTCTGCCTGTAAAGGGGGCCCCTGCAGGCCTAGTGAGAAGATGTCTTCTATTCTAGTTCCTTTACCAGTTTATTTTTACTTCTTGGGTGGCCCTCTATTTTTATTTATTTTTACCTTGTAGTTTGATGATTTCATTTGTAGCTCTCTGCTAGACTGTGAGAACTCCTTTCAGGCAGAGATGATGCCACATAGTTTCTCGTATGTCCCTGTAGGCCTAGTCTATGCCTGCCTTGTACTGCTTAGTAAGTGTTTGAGTGACTGAAAACTGCTTCTGAGCTTCTCAGTGAAGAATTCCAACACCCCTTTTCTCTCTTCGGTAGCATCCTGCCACGTTCATTCCCAACATCTGTAGTCTCTATCAGACGCTCCCTTTTTTCCAACCTAGTCAGTATGTTGAGTGGAAGCATGTGTTGAATTTTGGGGATGCAAACAAATTCAGTAGTGCTGTATCTATATCTCCCACCCCTCACCCCACCCCACCCCCATTAGGGTTATTTGCAATACTGGTATGCTCTTTGCTATTTCAGGATTTAATTCTTAATGGCCCACGTGCTGGGTTTTTTTTGTAGATGAGCCACATGAAACCATTAAGAAGACAAACTTGCTTCTGAGAATTAGAGTAAACCTTTGTCCATGTGAGAACTAGATTTGCTGTCTTGCTGCTTTTCTAGCTCATCAGCAGTGCTCAATCTAAGGTCTCACAGGTCTCTAGTCCTAGTGAGTTTTTCACATAAAAGTAACATTTGCTGAGGCTTCTGTGAGAGGTATTAGCATCTCAGTTGGCTTTGAACAGTGCTTAGTACATTTCTGCATGGAGATCATCCCTCTCCAGCCCATTCATAGAAGGCTTCTGCAGATTTTTCTATAGTAGACTAACTAGATTTACTTTTAGACAATTTCCATGATTTCTCCAGTTGAGCTTTGTGGAACCTGTTCTCCAGCTTTGGAGGGAAGCTCAGAACCTGCCCCTTGCCTGGTTTTCTGTGGGAAGTGTCCTTTTCAGGCTGTGACACAGCATGGTACAGAGTTTTGTCTGAGGGGATGCAACCCCAAGTGTTCTCCTAGGTTTGATGGCAATGACAGTAACCTGGAAAGAACAATTGTAATATGCAGGTTAGGATGGATTGAGCAGATTGTGTGCAGATAACTTCTGGGTAGTTTGGGTGCTGTCACCAAAGTTTTCCCATCAGTTGGCATTTGCTTTTTTCTTTTAAAAAGCTGAAATCTATACCTTGCTGCTTCTTGCTTCAAAAATCATAGGTCAAATGAAGCGTAACAGAGGGGAAGAAATAGATTTTGAGACACCTGGGTCCATTCTTGTCAACACCAACCTCCGTGCCCTGATCAACTCTCGGACCTTCCATGCCTTACCATCACACTTCCAGCAGCAGCTCCTCTTCCTCCTGCCTGAAGTAGACAGACAGGTGCACATGGGCAGCCTCCCCTTTGCCTCTTTCTGGATGGGCTTCTGTTCTCTTTTAAGTTTATTTATTAGGATTTTTTCCCCCTTGATCCTTCTAGGTGGGGACAGATGGCCTGTTGCGTCTCAGCAGCAGTGCACTGAATAATGAGTTTTTTACCCATGCGGCTCAGAGCTGGCGGGAGCGCCTGGCTGATGGTACGTAGACTTGATCATCTCAGACGGCTTGCGATGCACCTGACATGTGTGGTGTTGCATGTCTCCTGGTACTTAAAATCCAAGCTCTTTCTTCTCAAAGGGTTATTTAGTATAAGACAGGCTTTACTCATTATCAATAAATGTGGTGGGTATTAATGTGCCACATAGCTCTGAAGAAATAACAGAGTGTTTAGGTTTAGACTTTCACTATATTGTATGTATATACTCATTCTTCATCTCCTTTTTATCATTAAAACTATAAACACCTATTCCAGTAATCATGGCATCATCTGGAAGGGTGGAGGAAAGTACACTGTGGAGTTGACAAGCTCCATCATGCTCTGTCTTTAGGCATTGTCACATGGAGTGATTGTTAGCTTCTATTAATTTAATTTTGTAGGGAAAGTGTTGAGAGGGTTCTTAAGAACACCCCTAGGTTTGATGATTTGCTAGCAGGACTCAGCATATAGTTACATGTATAGGGCTGTGGTTTATTACAGCAGAAGAATACAAAGTAAAATCAGCAAATGGAGAGGCACATGGGGTGAGGTCCAGGGGAACCATGTGTTGGCTTCCAAGGTCCTCTCTCAGTGGTGTCACACAGGACACATTTAATTCCCACAGCAACAAGTTATGACAACATGTATGAAATGTCTACTAGGGAAACCTGTTAAAGACTTGGTGCCCAGGGTTTTTATCAAGGCCAGATCATGTAGGAAGCCACTGCTTGGCACATACCGAGATTCCAGATTCCCAGAAGGAAGGCAGGTGTTCAGCATAAGCCATATTGTTTGCATAAACAATTTAGGCACAGTGAACAACTCATCAGTTAGGGTGATTGGGAACCCTCCTGAAATCGTAAGTTCCCAGATATCAGCCAACAGCTGTTCTTTTAAGTAGGCCTTTCTAAGAATAAACAATCAGGCCTACTATGTTAACTTTTTGTCTACACGGGAAATAAGAATGGTTCTTTTTTTTGTTGTTTTGGTTTTTCGATCAAGGAGTTGCTTGGTCTGACTTTAGGGAAGAGTGAATTTCCCTTATAGTAGACGTGTTAGCTCTGTCCCTGTAAGAGCGTGATGTGAGAGAGCCTCTAGAAGAGACATGTTTTAAAACTGGGAGATTCAGCTGTCCATAAGACAGACATTAATACCCGAATGCACTTACTAGAAGAGGTTTATTTCTCCCTAGGCGAATTTACTCATGAAATGCAAGTCAGGATACGACAGGAAATGGAGAAGGAAAAGAAGGTGGAACAATGGAAAGAAAAGTTCTTTGAAGACTACTATGGACAGAAGTAAGGCAGTTGGAGCTATGAGTCCTGGTCTGGGGTTTTGAGGGGATAGAGGTAGATGGTCTCAAAGTAGTGTATTACTTACATGTTGGACAATAGTGTGGAGATTGCAGTGACACTTGGGTCATTTATCATAATGCCATTCATAGTGAAGCTAACAGAAGTTTTTCTGTGGTTAGAGTTATGCACCATGCAGATTTATTTTGTTCTGAGATATCTATGTTTCTGGGTCCATATTATTCATAGAAATAAAAGAGACATGTCCACTCTGGCCTGAAACTGATGGTGTGATTTTGATTTGCAGGCTGGGTTTGACCAAAGAAGAGTCATTGCAGCAGAACGTGGGCCAGGAGGAGGCCAAAATCAAAAGTGGCTTGTGTGTCCCAGGAGAATCAGTGCGTTCACAGCGTGGTCCAGCCACCCGACAGCGAGATGGGCATTTTAAGAAACGCTCTCGGCCAGATCTCCGAACCAGAGCCAGGAGGAATCTGTACAAAAAACAGGAGCCAGAACAAGCAGGAGTTGCTAAGGATGCAAAATCTGTGGCCTCAGATGTTCCCCTCTACAAGGATGGGGAGGCTAAGACTGACCCAGCAGGGCTGAGCAGTCCCCATCTGCCAGGCACATCCTCTGCAGCACCCGACCCAGAGGGTCCCGAATTCCCAGTTGAGTCTGTGGCTTCTCGGATCCAGACTGAGCCAGACAACTTGGCACGTGCCTCTGCATCTCCAGACAGAATTCCTAGTCTGCCTCGGGAGACTGTGGATCAGGAGCCCAAGGATCAGAAGAGGAAATCCTTTGAGCAGGCGGCCTCTGCATCCTTTCCCGAAAAGAAGCCCCGGCTTGAAGATCGTCAGTCCTTTCGTAACACAATTGAAAGTGTTCACACCGAAAAGCCACAGCCCACTAAAGAGGAGCCCAAAGTCCCGCCCATCCGGGTAGGAGACTGTTTGATTCCTGGCTGCCCTGGAGCCAGGTTTTCTTTGAGGGTCATGAGATTATAGAGCCCTTAACTCTGGGGCCTTGAAGTTAATTATGTGGGAATGTAGAGCCTTTTATGAGAGGCTTTCTTGAGACAGCCTTAAAGTTTAGTGAGATAGGTTCTTTTCTTCCTCACTTTTTTGTTCACTCTGTTGAAGTTATCTCCAGAGGTCAAAATCCTTTGGAGTTTTAAAATCTTTTTAAGATAGTGTTAGGTTCTTTGCTGTAGTGACTCACACAGTCCCACCAGAAATTAAATTTAGAAGTGTGGCATATAACAGCCCTTGAGCAGAATCTTCTCTGAATGGTGTGGTGTTATGGCAGCCATTTTACTATGATGATTTCGTTGTTTTAAGGAAATTATTTGATTCTGTATGCCATGACCCTTAAGCTATTAGAATCCTAGTTTTGCTTTACAGTCCCTAGGTCAGATCACCCAGTCAGTTAAAACTGTTTTCTAATTCTTTTTTTGCAGATTCAACTTTCACGTATCAAACCACCCTGGGTGGTTAAAGGTCAGCCCACTTACCAGATATGCCCCCGGATCATCCCCACCACGGAGTCCTCCTGCCGGGGCTGGACTGGCGCCAGGACCCTCGCAGACATTAAAGCCCGTGCTCTGCAGGTCCGAGGGGCGAGAGGTCATGACTGCCATAGAGAGGCGGCCACCACTGCCATCGGAGGGGGGGGTGGCCCGGGTGGAGGTGGCAGCGGGGCCACCGATGAGGGAGGTGGCAGAGGCGGCAGCAGTGGTGATGGTGGTGAGGCCTGTGGCCACCTTGAGCCCAGGGGAGGCCCGAGCACCCCTGGAAAGTGTACGTCAGATCTACAGCGAACACAACTACTGCCGCCTTATCCTCTAAATGGGGAGCATACCCAGGCCGGAACTGCCATGTCCAGAGCGAGGAGAGAGGACCTGGCTTCTCTGAGAAAGGAGGAAAACTGCCTACTACAGAGAGCTTCAGTTGGACTCAGAGATGGGCTGGGAGATGCCTCCCAACTCTCCATTGCTCCCACTGGGGACCAGCCATGCCAGGCCTTGCCCCCACTGTCCTCCCAAACCTCAGTAGCTGAGAGATTAGTGGAGCAGCCTCAGTTGCATCCGGATGTTAGAACTGAATGTGAGTCTGGCACCACTTCCTGGGAAAGTGATGATGAGGAGCGAGGACCCACCACTCCCACAGACAATGGTCCTATTCCGTCTCTAGTGGGAGATGATACATTAGAGAAAGGAACTGGCCAGACTCTTGACAGTCATCCCACTATGAAGGATCCTGTAAATGTGACCCCCAGTTCTACACCTGAATCCTCATCAACTGATTGCCTGCAGAACAGACCGTTTGATGACAAATTAGGTCTTGGTGACTCATGCCTTCCTGTGAGGGAAAGTGATACTAGACAAGAAAACTTGAAAACCAAGGCTCTCGTTTCTAACAGTTCTGTGCATTGGATGCCCATCCCATCGAATGATGACGTAGTGAAACAGCCTGAACCAGAATCCAGAGGACATGTACCATCTGTTGAGCCCCAGGTTGGAGAGGAGTGGGAGAAAGCTCCTCCCACCCTTCCTGCATTGCCTGGGGATTTGACAGCCGACGAGGGTCTAGATCCTACTGATAGCCTTACTTCACTCTGGACTGTGCCATCTCGAGGAGGCAGTGACAGCACTGGTAGTTACTGTCAACAGATGGACGCTGAAAAGCTGAAAATCAATGGAGACTCTGAAGCACTGAGTCCTCACAGTGAGTCCACAGATACAGCCTCTGACTTTGAAGGTCACCTCACGGAGGACAGCAGTGAGGCTGACAGTAGTGAAGCTGCAGTGACAAAGGGATCTTCGGTGAACAAGGATGAGAAACCCAGTTGGAACCAATCTGCCTCACTGTCCAAGGTGAATGGTGACCTGCGTCTGGTTACAAGGACAGATGGGATGGTTGCTCCTCAGAGCTGGGTGTCTCGAGTATGTGCGGTCCGCCAAAAGATCCCAGATTCCCTACTGCTGGCCAATACTGAGTACCAGCCAAGAGCCATGTGTCTGTCCAGGCCTGGGTCCTCAGTGGAGGCCACTAACCCACTTGTGATGCAGTTGCTGCAGGGTAACTTGCCCCTAGAGAAGGTTCTTCCACCGGCCCACGATGACAGCACGCCAGAAGCCCCACAAGTACCGCTTACAAACGAGCAGAGCCATGGCTCCCTGTGCCTGGGATCTTTACATGGTCTTGAAGAAAACAGTGGCATGGTTGGTGGAAGCAGCCCCATTTCTTTAAGGGCTTTGAAGGAGCCTCTTCTACCAGATAGCTATGAAACAGGCCCTGTTCTTGCCAGGATTGAGGTCACCCAGGCTCCTGGAGCACCCCAAAAGAATTCCAAGACAGTCCCAAGTTTTGACTCCTTCCATCCAGTGACAAATCCAATTACTTCCTCTAGGAAACTGGAAGAAATGGATTCCAAAGAGCAGTTCTCTTCCTTTAGTTGTGAAGATCAAAAGGAAGTCTGTGCCGTGTCACAGGACAGTAATTCAAATGCTGCTCCAGGCAAGAGCCCAGGAGATCTTACTACCTCGAGAACACCTCGTTTCTCATCTCCAAATGTGATCTCCTTTGGTCCAGAGCAGACAGGTCGGGCCCTGGGTGATCAGAGCAATGTTACAGGCCAAGGGAAGAAGCTTTTTGGCTCTGGGAATGTGGCTGCAACCCTTCAGCGCCCCAGGCCTGCAGACCCGATGCCTCTGCCTGCTGAGATCCCTCCAGTTTTTCCCAGTGGGAAGTTGGGACCAAGCACAAACTCCATGTCTGGTGGGGTACAGACTCCAAGGGAAGACTGGGCTCCAAAGCCACATGCCTCTGTTGGCAATGTCAAGAATGAGAAGACTTTTGTGGGGGGTTCTCTTAAGGCAAATGCCGAGAACAGGAAAGCTACTGGGCATAGTCCCCTGGAACTGGTGGGTCACTTGCAAGGGATGCCCTTTGTCATGGACTTGCCCTTCTGGAAATTACCCCAAGAACCAGGGAAGGGGCTCAGTGAGCCTCTGGAGCCGCCTTCTCTCCCCTCCCAACTCAGCATCAAGCAGGCATTTTATGGGAAGCTTTCTAAACTCCAGCTGAGTTCCACCAGCTTTAATTATTCCTCCAGCTCTCCCACCTTTCCCAAAGGCCTTGCTGGAAGTGTGGTGCAGCTGAGCCACAAAGCAAAGTTTGGTGCGAGCCACAGTGCATCACTTTCCTTGCAAATGTTCACTGACAGCAGCACAGTGGAAAGCATCTCACTCCAGTGTGCGTGCAGCCTGAAAGCCATGATCATGTGCCAAGGCTGCGGTGCATTCTGTCATGATGACTGTATTGGACCCTCAAAGCTCTGTGTATTGTGCCTTGTGGTGAGATAATAAATTATGGCCATGGGAAACGTTGTATATTTAGTGTGTGTATTTTGATAATGATTGATCTTAAATCTGTATACAGAATATCATTGATACAATACTCTTTTTAGGCAGGAGCACTCTTGCCTTCCCCCAGAATTTATAGTGCTAAAGGCCTCTGTCTCTTGTTGACCCTTCTGGTCTTGCTGGAGGGGTTTCCTGGGTATAACCCATTGGGCTGCCCAAGGCCAGCCAGCCTGAGCTCTCCTGCAGACAGAGCCTGATGTGGCATGGAGTGGGGTTGTGGGTGGTGGGGGGACTGCCTGACTCCCAGAGGGACTTGAAACTGAAGCAAGAAGGTTGCATTCTCCATCAAGGGAATTAACTTACCTGAACTAAGTAGAAATGCCAGTCTTCCACTGCCCCCTCCCTGCCATCTTTTCTTCTACTTTGGGGAGTTGATGGCCAGGAAAAAAGGCAGCACAGGGTTAAAGTAACTCCCAGCATTGCCCACCAGGGGGCTGGTGCATGTGCTGACCTTAGGGTCACAGTTGAGTCATTTGCCAGATGACGGAGCAAATTTGGAACTTTTCTGTCTCCGTGTGATCCACTAGCCCACAGGATCATTTGGAACCTTGAATAGCTCTGCTTGGACAATGGGGTTGGGGAATAGGGTTGTCTTTCCTATGAAAATGCCATCTGTAGACCTTGTGAGTCAGCTGTCCAGACGTTTGCAGGTGAATTCCTCTGCTTGACATCTTCCCTGTCACTTTGGACCCTATGGGAGTGGGCATCTCCACGCACCTGTGTATGTGAAAGTCATTTTACATTTCAAAGCAGTGTGTGTTTCATATTTTTATATTTTTAACTCTTTATTCTTGGATGTATAAAGTGAACTTTTTGGCTTCTGTAAGTATGCTCTATGCACCTCTAATGTTTTATCATGTATTTATATGTTGTACACAGTACTGGCTGATTCTGTAAATGGATGTATTGTACAGAGAACATGAACGTCTCTTCCTAATTTTACATCTTCAGCATCATTGCATTAAAGTGGTGTAATCTACTTCTCTACACCTGTTGTCAGAGCCACTGAGTGCTGTGCTGCTCGACGTGAGGGTGATATGATTGACTTGTGACCTGCCAGGTTGCCCGATGCCCTGTTGGGTCACCGGGTGAACCTGCTGCAGCCTGCAGAGCCACAGTCAGCCTGCCCACACGCCGCCAAGCAAACTCATCTTGCTTTTCACATCTCTCCTACAGCCTTAATGGCTGCTCGCTGCCATATGTGACAAATCACCACCACCAGTGTTAAGTGCTTCTGGATTCATGGGTGAGTTCCCTGGGCAGCCCCCAGGAAGGCCTTCCAGATCTGGCTCCAGGGCCACCACCTGTCACAGCAATACCTGGGACCATGCTCTCCTGGGACTGTGAGGCTCCTTTTGACGTACTTTTGACATCGGGCAGGTTTGGGAAGAAACAAAGCCATGCCTGCTCCTGCCTCTCTCCCAACATGTTTCCAGCAAGTAGATGCCCCTGTGTGTGTTTTCCCTTTGCCTTGTTTCCTGCCTTATATCTTGTATTTCGACTTACTACAGAATTGAGGGTCCTTGCTTAATTTAGGTCAAGTATAAAATTTGTATGACTTCAACAAGTTTGAAAGGTTTTTTTCTCATTTAATCTGATGTGGCATTTTCGTCATCTGAAGCATGAGTGACAAGTTGGGAATGATGTGATTTAGAGTGCAGTATTGGCCAAGTCAAAATTGCCAACTTAAGTGTCTGTTTACCAAAAACCGGGAACAGGGGCCCAAGCACGTCCAGTCCTCTTCCCTCTGCTGGAACCTTTGGGGACACTCAAGGTTACAGTTTGACACTGATCTGGTCCATGGGGGCTGCCCAGAGAAAGCACTGCTTCTGTATGTCTGTTGTGGTATTGGAACAATAAACTGTACAACCTGCAGTTGTGGTCTCAGTCATCTGTGGCTGCCTCGCTGGTGTGGGAAGGTCAGCTGAAGTGCTGAGCTGGAAGGGAAGGAGTAGACACCAGCTGTCCTCACCTTGGCTCTGGAGCTACTGTTCTTATACTTGGAGCTCTTCTTTTGGGAGGTTAGTCCAAAAGGAATGACTTGGCAGCTTCACTGGTCTTTAGCTGTTCATGACTTGTCGGACTACACCACATAGACTGCAGTCATCAATCTACCGAGAGCAATGAGAATGTTTCCCCTGGTGAGTGGGAGTCATGAATTGTGACATCCCTCTGAGCAGCTCGTCCAAACAGCTTCACCGAGCTTGAGGTTGCCAAGTGGCTTCCTAATGGTCAGTGGTCTTCTGTAGGTGGGTGACTAGCTCTGACCTCGGAAAACTTTAACCCCAAGCACCTCTTTCTGTAGCCTCTGGTGGCAGTGAGAGGAAGGTGCTGGCCCAGGGTGGGGTGTCTGATGCTGGTTGAGTGAGCCTGAGTAGATGGCCTGCTTCAGGGATTGACTTCTTGACTGAGAAGTCCTCAGACGTCTCTAGAGTACGTAAATACATTGACTTTGTGCTTATCAGAAATAATTTTATTAGTATATAAATAAGCCAAAAGACCAAATGATGGGAGTTTAAACATCTATTCATTTATTTTTTCCTGTGAGTTGGAGGAAACACTTCGTGGTGGGATATCCTTTGGGCAGTTCAAGCTGCCATTTTGTAGTGCTGCTGTTTGATCGACATGCAGTTTTGAGAACTGATGATTCGGAGGCCCTGTAGTGACTGAGCAACTGCCTGGTGGTGGTGATGTGTCCTTGTGTCACAGGACCCATTTGCCCACTTACGTCTGCAGGAGCTCAGAATGCATTAGGGTCCCAGATGCGGGACCTTCCTGTGCCTATTGCCTCTCCTCAGGGAGGCAGAATGATGTAGTGAGTTCTTACAGTACAGCCTCTGCGACACGCCAGCTCTGTGGTCTTGGGCCATGTTATTTAACCAGGCTGCCAACTATCATCTGTGAATGGTGTAATAGTTCCTACTTCACAAGGTTGTTAGTGCCTGCCTCCTAGGACATGATGACTGTTAGTTCACAGCAGGCCAAGACAATAATAGGTGAACTACAGTAGAAATCTAGACAGCTACTGCCACCTACTTCACTCTTGCTCCAGAAAGGAGCTGTCAGGATGTAGGCCTTGTGCCCGCTGTGCTGAGGGGTGATGCAGGGTATGAAGTCCCTTTGGACCCTGGCTTTTGGTCTCAGGCCACAGACCTGACCAAAGGTTGGTGTAGTCCTGAGTTTAGATTGAATATTTGGTCAGGAAGGCTTATTTTGCTCATGGTCCAAAGGACAGGGAAAATAATGTTTCAGAATATAGGAAAAGTGGTATTGGCCTGGCAAGGTGTCATTTATTTGCTATCCAGCCTGCTGTAAGACTGTGTTAGAGAGAGGGGTGTGTGGGTATGTGTGCCTGCTAAATAGAGCTACCTGCATCCATCAGGGGTCTTGATGGCCAAAGCATCTACCTGCCCTGTCTCCCGGAGAGGAGGGGACCCAGGCTGTGTTGCCCTTATGTGTGGGTGTTGTTTGAAGCCATGGAAGGGGCAGGATGTGGAACTTTGGAGATTGCTCCAAAATTGGACAACATCCCCACGCTTCCTATTGTCTCTGGTAAATTTGAAAGCCTAGAATGAACATCTCTACCACAAGCCGTAGACGAACGCCTTGTAAGAACAACAGTTGTCAGTGCTGTGTTACCTGATATGGGTGGGTCTTAATCGTTTTTTTGGGAACTCTCCCCCCATGGAATGCACATACAAAGCTTTTTGGGTTTTTTTTTTTTGCAGACTCTCACTCTATTCAGGCTGGAGTGCAGTGGCATGATCACAGCTCACTGTAGCCTCCAACTCCTGAGCTCAAGTGATCCTTCCACCTCATCCTCCCAAGTAGCTCAGACTACAGGCACACACCACCACGCCCAGCTAATAAAATTTTTTGTAGAGACTGTTGCCCAGACTAGTTTTGAACTCCTGGCCTCAAGCAATCTTGCCGCCAGCACACCTGGCCTCACAAAGTTTTGCGTGCTGTGTCAGGATTTACCAGCTCCTTAGGCAGCTGGGGCCCTGTGTTTAAAAACTACCGGCTGAGAATAAACCTAATAAAATCTGTGTTTATACAAAAGATCAATTAAGGGAAGATAGGATTTTGCAAGGATTCTTCTTGCAAAGAAATGTAACTACTACGCTTCCCTAGTGCATTTTAAGTTGTTTTTCATAAAGGGAGATTTGCCTGTTTTGTCGTTGAGTACATTTTAGTTCACTCTTCTGAGGGGACATTCCCATTTGATGAAGTCTTTTATCCACTGTTAACAACAGTGGTGTGGAGCCCTGTTTAAAGAAGCCAGACTGGAATCAGCGAGCGGGAATCCCAGTGCTCCGGTGGAACAGCAGCATTTCCTGTGGAAGGAGGTAAGTGTTTGCGGGGCTGGCCAGCAGGCCAACGGGGTCTGTGTTCTGGAGCTGTTGTCCCAGGTTGTGGGTTTCTAATAGTCTCAATAGTTTGAGCAGTCTCATTGGTGATCATTTTAGGCAGGACAAGGAATTTCCGTGGTATTAACTGAGGATTTGCTGCCCCTTGATTCCCCACATCCATGGGAAAACGGAGGCATCAAGGGCCATCTTCTGTGCCCGGACCTCCTCCTGTCTTCAGTGAGTCTCAGCCCCAAGGTCATGCCCTTTTCCATTTTATATATTTGGCTACTGTACGGAATTTCTATGAGAAAAAAGGATTATGTCATTATTTAAAAATCAAGGTTGGCCGGACGCGGTGGCTCACGCCTGTAATCCCAGCACTTTGGGAGGCCAAGGCAGGTGGATCACGAGCAGGAGTTCAAGACCAGCCTGGCCAAGATGGTGAAACCCCGTCTCTACTAAAAATACAAAAAATTAGCCGGGCATAGTAGCCTGCGCCTGTAATCCCAGCTACTTTGGAGGCTGAGGCAGAGAATTGCTTAAACCTGGAGGGTTGGAGGAAGTGAGCTGAGATCACACCACTGCACTCCAGCCTGGGCAAC